GCACAAGCAACCGTCTCTATAAGACGAACAGGTTTTGTTATTGTCCTTTTTGGCCTGCTGGTTTCTATTGATTCAAGTTGTTGTTGAGGTTCTTGAGTTGGAACCTCCCTCTCAACTGTCTCTTCTTCCAGAGGATCATCTTCATTTGTTTCCTCATCTGCTTCTTGTGTAGGAAAAATAAAGTTTCCCTCAAACTCCACCTGCTTAGAATCACCATCATCTTATTTGGTATCTTCATTTGTTACTTTATTTACCATAGCAGATTCATCGAAGGTAACATCCCTACTGAATATTACTTTCTTTGTCATAGGACACTATAAGCGATATCATTTGACTCTAGAAGTAATCCCCATAAAAATAGCCTTCTTCGCCCTTGGATCCAATTTTGACTCTGTCACATGATAATATGCAGTTGAGCCAAACACGTGCAAAGAATCATAATCTATAGCAGGCTTTCCATACCATTTTTCAAATGGTGTCTTGCCATCAATAGCAGCAGATGGTAAACGATTAATGAGGTGGCATGCATATGTAATTGCCTCAGCCCAAAATTCTTTACCCAAGCCAACATTGGACAACATACACCGTACCTTCTCCAACATGGTCTGGTTCATATGTTCTGCCACTCCATTCTGTTGTGGTATATGTCTAACAGTGAAGTGTCGGGCGATGCCATTATTTTTATAGACCTTATTGAAATGATCATTTTTGTATTCACCTCCATTGTCTGTGTGAATACACTTGATCCTCCTACCTGTTTGATTCTCCACCATCGTCTTCCACTTGAGAAAAATTCCCAACACTTCATCTTTCCTCTTCATTGTATACACCCACACTCTTCGGGAAAAATCATCAACAAAGGTTACAAAAATAGTGTTTCCCACCCAATGAAGGTATTTTGGAAGGACCCCAAACATCAGAGTGTATATAACCCAAAATGTCTTTAGTATTATGGATCGTTGTACCAAATTTAACCCTTGTCTGTTTCCCTTTTGACACAATGCTCGCAAACTCCAAGTTGCAAGCCTTTACTCCTTTTTACAATCCTTGATCCGATATGGTTTTCAAGGATTTTCCTCCAGCATGTCCCAAGCGCATGTGCCATAGCCTGGTTGCTTCTGCCTCTTTTTCGTCACTGGATGTCATTGTCGCAGTCCTAATAACTGTACTAGCGCGATAATGGTACATGTTATTGTTCTTCCGATTGGCCTTCATTACAACTAGTGGACCGAAACATACTCTCATCACTCCATTTTCTGCAATGATTTTGAACCCTTTTGATTCTAGGGCTCCCACAGAGATGAGATTCTTCTTCAAATCCGGTACATATCGAACATCTGTTAATGTTCTGATCAATCTATCATGGTTCCTTAATCATATTGAACCAATTCCATATGAGGTAAGAGGGTTGTTATCCGCTGTGTGGATGACTCCATATTCTCCTTCTTGAAAATCTACAAAACAGTCCCTATTGGGACACAGATGATAGTTACAAGCCGAGTCCATCAACCATATGTCTTATGATGTTGATGACTCTGTTGTAACTAATGAGAAGTCTGAATCATCATAATCAGCTACATTTGAATCCATAATGGCGTTTCCATTGTTATGTTTCTCTTTATTCTTCAACTTCGGACAGTCTTTCTTCCAGTGCCCCTTTTCTCGACAAAAAGCACATTCATCTTTGNNNNTCGGGTCTAGATCTTGACTTGGATCTTCCCTTCCTTGTCCTCGTTTGATTTTGAGGACGACCCCTCACAACCAGTGTTTCTCCTTCTCCGCCCTTCTATTTTTCTCCTTTTCTTTGTTCATAGCTATACAAAGCCGAACAAACTTCTCTGAGAGAAATTTCGTCATTTTCATGGAGTAGAGTAGTTTCAAGGTGCTCGTACTCATCAGGAAGTGACCCCAATAACATCAAGGCCAAGTCACCATCATCAAAAGTTGCATCCATATTTTGCAAATCTATGACCAACTTATTGAAACTGGTGATATGTTCATTCATCGTGGTACTAGGAACATAGGTAAAGCGAAACAGTCTCTTCTTCATGTACAATTTATTTTGACTATTTTTCTTTAAAAATTTATCCCCTAGTGCTTTTCATAATTTACTTGCAGAAGTTTTCTTTGTGTATGGATATTTATGCTCTCTAGCAAGGTAGGATCGAATGGTACCGCAAACAACACGGTTGATAATTCTCCAATCTTCTTCTCCAATAACATCTGGTCTTTTTTCTTCAATGGCAAGATCTAGCCCTTGTTGAAAAAGGACATCTAGAACCTCGCCTTGCCACATCCCAAAATGTCCGGACCCGTCAAATATTTCGACCGCAAATTTCGCATTTGACACAATTCTTGTCATAAGCGAAGATGCCAATGATGACGTATTGTTGACACTTGATGTAGATTCTTCTTGTTTATTGTCTCTCATCTTAGACACAAATATTATTTAGTAGCTAACGACACAAATCAAAATTATTTTCTTTCTGGTGTGGAAGATCAGACTAAGCTGCAACCACAGAGTATACTCAGATAGAACCTTGACTCAGTTACCAAGATAAATCTTTTCTGATGTGGAAGATCAGACTATGCTTCAACCATAGAGCATACTTAAACAGTACCTTGGCTCTGATACCAATTATTGCGGAAGCCAAATGTATATAGTGTGAATGAGTCACAACTACTATACCAAAAATTATGGCGGCCACCAAATAATAAATAAGACAATAAGACAAAAATATAAAGAACACCAGAATTTATGAGGTTCGACCAATTTTGCCTACTTCCTCGAACACAACCAATATTTTATTCCACATACATGTGAAATAATACTAAAGAGAGAAGATACAAATGCCTTAAAAAAGATAAGAAGACAAATGAGATGTGTATTTAAATCATAAATATTAGGCCTTCTTTTATAGGGTAAAGTACCAACCCAATTTACTTCCCAACCGATATGGGATATTGACATATTCAACAAATCTCACTCTATAAAGAAAATATGATGATGTAATCATTTCCTTGTTTGATGAAACTATGCTTGATAGTTACCTTTCGAACTATTTGCAACACCAACATGCAAATAAACTACTCTCTCTGTTCCAGTTTATGTGAACTTATTTCCTTTTTGGTCTGTTCCAAAAAGAATGAACCCTTTCTAAATTTGATAACAATTTAGCTTAAAGTTACAATTCTACCCTTAATGAGAAACTTTTATAATCACACAAATACTCTGGGCCCCATTTGGACTTGTTCCAAAAGTCTTCATTTTTTCTCTTAAATTTCGTGCCCAGTCAAACAGGTTCACATAAATTGGAACGGAGGGAGTAATATACACTTCACTAAAGCCTCATACTATACTCAAAACTCTAACAATGAAAACCAAGGAAGAACTAGTTTCAACAGCATGGGACAGAATTGACTGCTTGGGGTCTCATGAGTTTGAACACTTCTTAGAGATATTGAATGTCGTGAACTAAATCAATCTTGTAGCACTATCTTGAAAGGATTAATGACTCACAATGCAACAAACATTGCATCTTGAAGTCGACATTAATTTTACTTTACTCCATGAGATCATAAATCATAAAACACTTCAGATATACATCTCATATCAAATCCTAGGAATCTTAGTTTGATGTAAGAAACTGATACTTGAACAATGAATCAGACAGATTGTATATTGGAGAAAAACAAAATGTAGAAAGGGTAATCACCAGCTCAAATGAAAGATTTTAATTAAGTAAATTACGAGTTTATGACAATGGATTGCACAACACAGTGAGTGGCCACCTATACCTCCGTGGAAATTTTTATTGTCTCGATAACATCCCCGGCAATCTCACGAGGAGATATAAAAGGTCTAGGGGGCATCTGTAGGAGTTGAACATCTCCTTCAAGCATTTCAACAACTTTGTTCATTGCAGGACGATCAACAGGCTTCATCTGTATGCACCACAATGCCACAAATATTATCTTCTTTACCATCTTCCTATCTTCCTCGCTGGCGTCCTGCATCTCTATATCATTTCCTTCATTAAATTGGTCGTAAACCCATGTAGGAAAGTAAATTTGGCTTAAATGATCCGCAAATGGGTTCATGTTCTTCCTTCTGCCTGCCATTTCCATCAACAACATACCATAACTATATACATCGGCTTTGTATGACACTCCTCCAATATTTTTATAGAACAACTCCGGAGCCATGTAACCCACTGTCCCTCTAGCTGCAGTTAGAGTCACAATACTATCATCTGTTGGGTACAATTTTGCAAGCCCAAAGTCAGATATTCTTGGATTGAAATTTTCATCCAGAAGAATGTTGTGAGGCTTTATATCAAAATGTAAGATCTGCATGTCACACCCCCGATGTAGATAGTCTATCCCACGAGCAACTCCTAGAGATATCTCGAACATTTGTTTGTAACTCAAGGAAACAATTCCTTCTTGCGGAAATATGTACTTGTCCAAGGAGCTATTAGGCATGAAGTCATATACCAAAGCACGTTTTGAGCCCTCAACGCAGAATCCAATGAGCTGCACAACATTTACATGGTGAATCCTTCCAATTGTGGAAACTTCACTGATAAATTCTTCCCCACTAGTCATGGACTTGTGCATAATCTTTACTGCAACAAAAGGACCACTACGGAGCTTTCCTTTAAAGACAGTTCCATAGGCTCCTTCGCCAAGTTTTTCCTTGAATTTATTCGTCATCTTCTTAATCTCAGAATAGGAGTACTTAATTGGCACAAGGTTGCTTTGGATTTGCAGGAAGTCTTCAATTGATTGATACATAGATAAGTGCCGTCTTCTCCATCTGTACACTATTAATGCAACCAGGAAAACCAATCCAAAGAGAAATCGGAATGACAGAATTGCAGCTGCATAATTTTCAAAAAGAAAAATGGAAGTCATTGATTAGAAAACCACATCCTTTTTCATAGGGTGAAGGGGTTTGACTATGCTTCAAAGCTATTTCATTATTCAGAATTCAGAGTGTACCAAGAATGCTTATGGTCATCGTTGAGTAAGATAAGAAGACTCACCTATACCAAATCCGCCAAATATTATAGTAAGAACTGTCCAACAGGCAAATCACAAAGGAAAATTTACGTTAGAAGAAGCAAATTTGGTAAAGACTTGAAGAAAGAGCTTACAGCTATATGGAAAACGTATTGTTTTAACGCTATAATGGCGTTATTATTGCAATCCAGTATCTCAAATACGTACCTCCATGCAAGTGGATGCTACCTGCATTGTCCAAATATAGGAACTTGAGTAAAATAGAGGTTGTTATATCTTGAAATAAGTTGCTGCGAATTGAAACTTAGTATAGTTAAGAGGGTAACTAACTGATAAGCATAAAAAAACGTGGAGAATTAAACGCAAAAGAGATCCAAAATTTTCTTAAAACTTCATACAATAGACCCCCTAGAGAGTGGATATAATAGATGAATGAAAGTTGGCTGCTTTAATTGAAGACTTAATCTGTGGTAAAGAATGACACCTTAAAATTGCTAAGTTGCAGCACTTAGGGAGATACTTGTATCTTCAAAACACTAGTCAGTACCTCCAATCAGGACTCGGAAAAAACCACATATATGGGATTTTGCAAAACAGATAATTCTCGAAAAGGAATTCCAAATTGAATATTGACTTACAAGGGAGGGGAAGATCAAAGGGGCTGCCATCGTCGCAGCGCAAGTGCCTATTGTTGCGGCTGCAACGGTAGTCGTTGCCTTCAGAAAAACAGTAGTCTTGACATTCTCTACACAAGAAGGTACGCTTCCAAGAAAGCTCAGACCCGTAACTCAGGGCATCCTGAATGCTCGATAGAGAAGTATTGTTACCCGAAAGCCCACGAGCCGACGCCCAGGCTACTATTTCCACGCTGCAACTCTCTGCCAAATCCGAAATCGACATGTCCTCTCCTATGGCCACATAGCTATGACTTTGTGAATAATTAAAGAAAGAAGTATTGTTCTGTGATCCGCAGAAAGTAGTCTCCACATAGCGCGAAGAGTTTACCATGGCTAAACAATTGACATATATAATGGGAATGTTGAGAGCTAAATCGTTAAAAGTTGAGGTGCCAGGAACAGCTGTGGTGAAGTACTTCGGAGAAAAAGTGCAGTTCGTGGTCTGATTCAGCAAACCAGGGTCAATTGCTCTGATCAAGAATTTATCATAGTTGATTTCCAACACGTTATATGTCCTTGACTCCAAACTTATGACAGTACGATTATTCTGGCAATCGAGCTGGAACCTAGAATTTCCGCAATTCTTGGGATCAGCTTTCAATCGAAATGGAAAGGTGATGTTATGAATATCACCACAAGAAGAAGTGCACTGAGTAATATTTTGGGCTTTGGATATTGTTGTGCTGCAGATCACAAGTAGTACAAGAGTCGCTAATTGGAGCTGTCTGACTGCCAACATCGTATCTGCAAATCGACTATGGTGAGTTTGTTCTGTCGTTTCTTTTTTATCATTTCCTCAGAGAAGATTCATCAATAGTTGAACAAGCAAATTGATGTTTGATTTGGTAATCCAGTATAAAAGTCAAAATTTTGTCTATGATTAGTCGTGAGTCGTGCTGTGGTTTTTTCTATCCTTTTCTCTTAATTTGTGGTTCTCAAGTCTCTGCGCGTTATTATGGAAGTTGAGTCAGGGGTGGGCATTGGTCGGTTCGGTATATCGGTTATCGGTTTATAAATATGCTAAACTGATAACCGAACCGATAAGATATCGGTTATCGGGTAATACCGGACTAACAGTAATATGTATGGGTTCCGATAGCTTTTGTGCAGAACCGGTATTTGTATTAAGAAATCTATTGAATATTTAACAATAATTAGATGGGAACTAAGTTGCATAATTTATATTTGGTCCAGTGGTAAATACTAGAACCCAGATGTTGCCCGCTTCTCACGCCTGCTGCAGCAAAATAAGATCTTAAATAAAGTATATAAATTATTTATAAGGTAAGAAAAAACTTAAATAATCAGTAAAAAAATATTTTAAAAATAAGAATAATAAAGTCATATTAATATTGATAAATCGGGCAAACGAATATTTTATACGTAAATATTACTACAACATTCAGATATAATGTGTTCAAACAATTAAGAAAATATTTTTTTATTAATATTTGAATTGAGTACAGTAAGTTTAAGTTTGAAAGTATAACATAATTCTTTAAAAATGTAGTCAAATATAGAAAATAGAATAATAAAACTTATTTGAATTTGAGAAAGTTTTTTAATTTTTATCTATATTATATTAGAATGAATGTAGTAGAAATAAATATTAAATTCAAACAAGCTAATAAAAATCCACATGACAATGTAATAATATTAGGTATTTAATAATATAATATCAAAAATAAATAATAAATAGAGAAAAAATAAAAATTCAGATTTTTTATCATAGAGAAGAAGGGTAAAACTTATTTAAATTTGAGATGGGAAAGTTTTTTATATTATGATAAGAAAATTCATAATATGGATAATCCACGTAACTCAAGTCTAATGGATAAAATCAAAAACTAAAAATATTGAATAATAGAAATAAATTAGAGATAATATGAGATATTAATAAATCATAAGTTTAAAAAATAAATTAAATTAAATATACAATGCTTAAAATCTTATTAAAATTTAAATAATTTAGAATTTTCGAGCAATATTTTTAAAAACAAAATAAATATTTATTTTATGATTAGAAATTATATATTTATCTATATTATATTAAAGAATAGTAGATTATAATGATATTAAAAAAAATTATAAGTTAATGAAAAGCCACATAAAACGTAATAAGACTATATAATAGATTAAAAATTAGCAAAATTATTAAAAAATTATTATTAGAAATGAAAGGGAAAGGCTATTTGAATTTGAAATTAGAAATTTGTTAAAACTACGATTAGAATGTCCAAACTATGGATAATATCACGAAATTGAAGTCTTATTTATGAAAAAATATTAAAATAGAAAATAAATTTCTAATATAGGTAATTTTACTAATAAAAATTAAAGATTAAATTTGTATTAAATCTAAAAAAGAAAGAAAATTTACGTAAGAAATAAAATGATAATGAAAATATTACTACAACATTAACATATAATGTGTTCAAACAACAAAGAAAATATTTTTCTATGATTAATATCTNAACCAATAAAGTTATTGGTTATTTTAAAATCAAAAAACAAAAAAAAATAAAGCTATAAAAAACGGAAAAAAAACAGAAGAAAAACTACCCATTCAAATCGGGAAATAGTTTCAAGTTGGAGTTTTAAAATAATTAAAATAAAAAAAGATATCTTATAATTAACTATAATAAAAAAACGAAAATATAAATATATAAGAAATGAACTACCCATTCAAATTGGTAGTTATTTTTAATTAATAATTAGTTATTGGTTATTATTTTTGAATTTAAAT